TATCTTAATAGTATAATATATACTGTGTTGTTGTTGGCTTAGGATTCTTCCATAGTAGGTGTCTGTGACTTGTTGGCGATAAGTTCAAGAATAAACGAACAGCTCTCACTCCACTTGTTTCTAAATAAATAGTGTATATATATATATATATATATATATACACATTTGAACTGGTTAAACGTATGTACAACAAATTCTTTACGCTATAGAGATTATAGACATATCATAAACACTATATAGTTCTCTTCTTCTTGTCAAAAGTCCACTCAGGCCAATTCAATTACTTTAGAATTTTAGTTGACAAGCCAAAGTATCTTCTCTATTACTATCGCACTGGTATTCCATGTGTGATTCACTTACAGTCGTGGCATGAGTTACCGTAATCATTTGGTCTTCTTTCTTCTGAATATCATCTGTTCCTTTTATTAAAGTGCACTCAGGCTGATTCAATTACTTTAGAACCACGCAATGACGGAATAAATTATTTTTCTTATCTATGTTTCTGCTGTTAGTCTTACTCTAACATATTAAATGTTAGGCCTGTGTCAATCATTAGGTTTATCACTTCTACGGTAGTTAACTTCATGCCGAACCTTTCCTTTTGTAACTTTACTTTATTCTGCTATTATCTGTCTGCTGTTCCCTCTCATCTCACACTATATCTTTATCACTTAATCGTCTGTCCGCATTCTTTATTCTCGACTTCATTGTATATTAATTCAAAAATATATTAATCAATAATATCTAAACTAAACAGTCTTTTTTGTCATGACAGTATGTTAATACTTTTTAATAGTTCATTTTCAGGGGAAAGTTTGGATCAAAGCACTAGAATTAAATGTCATTTAGTATGAGTGAAGTTGCTGTTTTATTCAAGATTTATTTTCAAAACTTTTGTTTACTTACTGAATAAGATAGAAATATAAAAATTGAAATAAGAATATTTGAATAGTTTGTCTTAAGCATGTTCATCTTAAGTGCATCAGATTTTAGGAGTTATAAAGTAATTATATGTTGAATCTGATTTCAGTGGAAACACGTGTGCTTGCGAGATCTCACTTTAACCGATTGGGTTCTCTGTGCCAATGCTTTAGAAAGATTCAACACTGTTTCTCTGGTAAAGTTTGTTTCTTATTTTGATTGATATACTTTTTTTAAGTTCATCGAATTTTTAAATTATTTTTGTTCCATGTTATTAGTTGTAAATTTAGATTTTGAAGTGCAGTGAAATGTAAAAAGTGTGACTCCAATATGCATAACATGATATCGGATTTTGAAACATTAGACATTTGATAACTGTGAATGAAAAATATTTTTTATTTGGTGAAATAAACAAAACTATATTTAAAAGTGAAAGAAAAAATGTGAAATATATGTATGTGAAGAGATTCTTTTGCAATAACCCTAATTATACATAGACCTAGGCATTATATCTCTCTTGATATTGTTGTACAGTATATCAAACTGTTGTTATATAACTGACGTAAATAAGCTTATCCTCATTTGTCGATATTTTATTACCTAACTGTGGCAGGGTATGCCTGGTTTAGTAGAATCATAGCTTTGCTACAACAAGTGAGCTTTTAATTGATGGGATGAAGTGAAACTTAAGCCTAATGTTATATTAAATGTAGGAATGAATATGATTAATTTGAAACCTCTTATTTTGGCTTTTTTGTTATTCAAACTATCTGTGAGCCTGTCAACATGCTCTGTGTTTATTGTCTGTAATTAGATATATGCTTGTGTCTATTAGTGTGGTTTTACTATGTGTGTGTGTGTGTGTAGGTGTTTATTTAACAGTATGTCTGTCATGAAAAAAAATTGAGGATACGCTTGCTGCAGTGCCTTGTCCAAAAGGAATCATTAAAGCAAGTGTACAAACTGGGTTAGAAATAAAGGTATTTTTGTAAGTATTTGAATAATGTTACCACCTCACTATTCAGTGTTTCAGATGTACACAAACTTCTGTACTGATCCATTCAATATTTCTTTGTCTTCTTTGTTTTAAACATTGAAACAAAAGGCAACCATTGTATACACAAAAAAAAATTTTCTTTCTGTTAGGATTTAAGAAACATTAAACATTTAGATGATCATGCAACTTTCTGGGGCCACTTCATTAATATTTTGGGACACCTGAGGAATTTGCAAAATCTGTCTTTTGGGGAAGTGATACCAGATGTTCTACCTGCTGTTGCTGACACGCTGACTCAGCTAAGATCTCTAAATGTTGAATGTGTCACAGAAGTTACAGGACCATCAACTTGGTAAGCCATTTGTCATATTGGAACTTGTAATGACTAAGCTGAAATTAAGTTTAAGTGCATTTTGACAAACCGACATAAAATGACATGTATAAGATTGAACCTTAATTATTGTATAGTATGTTTATAACAGAAGTAGAAATTGTCATTATAATTTAAATACCTAAACTACCAAGTACAATACAGATAATTATACTACTTTTTACAATTTTTCTATCCTGTTTTAAGTGACAAAATATATTAGAAATTATCACCAATGTGTAAGATACAATAACTTAGAGGACTTTTTCCAGATTACTTTCATGAGTTAATTTTCTTTGTATGCAGTAACGTTGACACATTTTGAACGTGTAAGGATTGAAAGTATGACGATAAAAATGAGTTCAGCCAGTTACTGTTTAAACATTACAAATTACTAGCATTGAACTTTTTCACTTGTATAAGGTTTAACTGTCAGTCAGAATCTGTATTTGTGTTTGATGTTTCACATTGGGAACTGCTACTCACATGTGAACTTAATTTCTCTTATAATACTTTTACCAGAACACAATTTAGATAACGTACGGTTTCTTTACATCTAAAGAAGAACCTGTGTTTGAGATAAGGTTGTACTTTTTTTTCTTCATTCACATCTTTGCGTTTAAGGCTTGAAAGCTGATCTCATTTATTTCAGTCATTTTCATGGATTGCAGTTAAACAAAACTTGGATAATGCTAGACATTGTTAAACATATTAGACTTTAAAAATTAAACTAAATTACTATACCAATAGAGTTAATTTATGATAATGACAAAACCCGTGTATTTTGCTTAACATAACGAGCCAGCAATTCTGAAAGTCAGAATTTCTGCATGTTACATGAGAGGATAACTGAAAATGTGTGTGTTTTGTGTCAATTGGAGTAACAGTTCTTTCACAGAGCATCTGATACTGCATTTTCTCATACTTACACATTACTATACACACATGTAAGGTTATAATAAATATTTACAAGACTGTTGGTATTATGTGGTGGCATCCAATGATGTGAGGTTAATTTTCTTCTTTGTGGAAAATATAAACTTCATCTAAGTTCATAATTATTATTATGTTTTTATATTTTCAGCTAATGATGTTCTTAAAGTTTAGTATGTCCTGTGGTTAGTTTTTTAAACTCTGATTTGAGCTCATTGTTTATGATGAATATGTATTAAAATAATGACAATTTATTCAGTCATAAATTTTGTTAAAGCGTAATTTCCATATAAACATGTTCTTTTGTTTATTTAATATAAAATCAGCATGCTTTTTTTCAAAGACATCTCTTTATCCTAATTTTAGCACTTTCTGTGGCATTCTGCCTTCACTGTAGCAGGTGGTGGGGATTTTGTTTGTAGGAAGTATGACTTGATTTTGTTTCTGGTCAGAATAAGAATATGAGGCAAAGGTTAGATGTGAATGTAAACATTATCATATGTTCAGGTAATTTTACATTTTCATTTGGGTTTCCTATAATGAGAAAAGCCACTTGAACAGGATGTGTTTGACTTAAACTTACTCTTAGACTGGACTGGAGGTTTATTTCTTTACTCGGTTTGTATTTTAGACATGTTTGATTATTTATTTTTAATGTCGGGCATACTACTGTAAACATATATGCAGATACTGGACACTGGTTTATCCTTTTTGAAATATGCGATTGGTTTCCTAATGTGAGTGACTTATGATATTTTCCAGTTTGCTGATTTATCTCAAAGTAGATGGTTAGGATTTACCAACTGGAGGCTCAAGGATACTAAGTCAGGGGGTGTTTTTCCAAACTGACCAGGTTTGTTATACAGGAGGAGATATACACAAATGTACAAATCTTTATCACACACTGAAACAACAAAATAAACACAATTCAAAACATTAGAGCAAGTGTTTTTAATGGATATGTTGAACTGGCAAGAAATGTGTGGAAAACCTTTAAAGTTTCTCCGATCAGTTTAGTGTGCTCATTCCCTCCTTGTAAGCTATACAAAAAGTAAAATTTAAAAGCAAACTAAAATAAAAACCCAACAAGTTGAGTTAGAATAAAGTAAAATTCAATCAAAATTGTTATCGTTCACCAAAAAATAAACAAACTCTGATTCCCTTAAATACCAGAGCCTGCTATATGCTAAAATTGTTCTACTACAAAGTCTAGTAAAAAAAAAACATTCTGCTAAAGTTCAAATAAAGTCACTAAAAGCAGTAGTTCTTACTATATTTTGGAAAGTTTTACTTACTAATGGCAAGCCTGGCTTTATGTACAAACATAAACAAAATCAAGCCTACACATCTCCATAATGAAAGCGACACGTTCGTCCACAGCGTTCTAAGAGCATTGCAGCCCCTACTTACTATCTGATTCACAGAAAAGGAAATTTATTGACTATCTCACTATGTTACCAGTTATCATTCTTGTAAGAAAACACAGATAATTGCCTCTTTACTATGTACACTAGAGAAGGGAAAAGTCGAGTTACTAATATGAGCGACTGCATCTGAACTGAGAACTCTGAAAAATTAGATAATTGTGAACAAACTTACACATTAACTTAGAGGAGGGGGCAATGCAGAATTTGATACACGTGACATTTTGGAAAGCTCTGGTATTGAATATAGCTCCAAGAGTTGCCTTGATGCACATATAGTGTACTGATCCAGCATTCTCTTTTGAGTCACCATTACATATGAAAATGCCAGACAAGACTGCGGGCATCATAAGTTTATGTTTTTATTAATAATGGCCTTTATTTGTTTCATAGCCAAACTTGTGTCAGTTTTTCTTTTGGTTTTCTGACTTATTCATATTCTGCTCTGCATATAAATTGTAAGAGCTGTTATGAGGTAATAGATGCCTCTAGCCAGTGCAAGATGCAGCAATGAATCCATGTTTTCTTGAAACAAACTGATAGGTATTTTGTCATCATTGTACAAGGCTTTTGATCTTTGACTATGGCAGAGTGTAGACCTTTCTTATAGAACTTGAAGTAGCTTTAGAGAATATGGTTTATGTAGTTTACACACACACAATTTGAAGGAGTAAACTTGGTGATTCAACTTTTGTGCTTTGATTTTAGCACAATTTTTTCATCTTTATTTAAGTATCATTTAGTTCTGTTAATTATCTCATGTACAATTACATCAAAGATGTAAACATACCTTTCTAGATCAGCTTTGCATGCTGATTACATTGCTCTTTTCAGTTTTCTTCTTGCACATCTAGTTATCAAAATATGACTGGTGTTAATTTCAGCACAATTTAGGTAATAATCAGACTAGTTAATGTTACAACTTTATTCATTTTTCAGTATCATTCCCATAAACGTTACACACAATACACTTGGTTAAATTTATAAAAAAAGAAATGTAGAACAACTGAAATTATATTCAATAAGGCAATAGCCTTTCAAATTTGATCAATCTCATGTGCTAGAGGAAAACCAAACACAGATTTGGAATCAGTGTTCCAAGAGCTATCTAGTCCACCTAGAATTATATCTGATGAAAGTGACTTGTTGGCCAGTGTAATTTGTGTACTCCAGCACTATTATAGGTTAGTTTGTAAGTAGACTATTGACACATGTTTAAAAAGATACCCACCAATATTGTATTACTTGGCAAGTTTAAATTACCCCACATTGACTGTTGTTTTTTAACTAAATTATAAAGAGATTTGAACTTTTCTGTTGTTCATTGAGTTTTTTTTTCCTGGTCTGTGTTGTCTTTGGTGCTTTTCCATGGTATATCTCCAACTAAGCGTTGACATCAGTATACCAACAGGAAGCATTAGAAGCTATATAAACCAGTCAGGTTTGGTTAGTATGTAATTGGGTGTAACAAGACTAGAAGAGACTCAATAAACAATCGGTGAAATTAATTGAATAAATATTTTCCATTATGCAACTCATCTAAAAAATTTTAATTTAGTTTAATGCAAGGATGTATGTAACATGTTTTCTAATTCAAGTTTTAATAATAATTTGTTAAAAGTACTGGCTGAAACAAACTTAATTTACTCTCTGTTTAGAAAAAGACTTCTCACTACAGACAAGAATGAGATATATAAATACAGATGAAAAGAGACAAACATTAGATGATTAAATACAGTAACCCAAACTCTATATGTAAACTGAATGTTCATCTGTTTTATTGGTGACAGTTTTAAATCAGCATATCAGCTAGAAAAAATAAATGCATTTATATTGAAGAAAATTTTACTTTATGACTATATTCGATCAACAAATGGAATCAACGTATACATTGATATCTGGTAAAATAAACTAAGGGATCAAAATATGGAAATGAAAACCATTTATTGAAAATATAGTCTGTGCCACCACACTGTTTCTGTTTTCATGCAAGATGATCCTGCATGTCGATTACTTTAATCCACATCTCATAAAAGAAATCATGCGCACTAAGTTTTCCTACACTTTTCCACTACATATCTCTCTGGCATTTTTTTACACAGAAGCTGAAATGTATGGAAACAAGTAAATTAGGAACTTAGAGACATGTTACATTTGAAATTATTAGGAAAGTCAGCCCTACATGATAAAACATTTAATTATGGGGAGGAGGGGGGAATTTACTAATGGTTAACATGGATAGGCTTAACCTAGTAGCTTAGTGGTTAGCTTATAAAGACTGTAAAATGAGAGGACAGAAACATGTGTCACATTTTGGGGCAGATAAAATTTATCCAAAAGGTGGTGGTTTGTGCTTTCTTTTTTCATTTGTACATGTGCTTTGTTTGCTATGTGTTTTTAATAAGAAAATTTATTATTCAGCTATACTTTTTGAATGTTATACCAAAAATGGTGCAGTATTTTAGAACATGAATGAAGATAAATGACATTGTTATCTACTGCATTGAAAGTCAGGTATTAATTGAATCATATTAATAACTCATTTTGAAATCAACTTTAATTTTTAAAATGAATAGAACCAATCAGAAACATCTCTTTATTATCTAGAGACTGGAAAAGTTATAAATCAAGATTTTTTAAAATAATTAATTAATTTATAGTTTTGCAACAGATATTAATTATTTTTTTGTGATTTAATGAAGAATGCACACGTGGGTGTTATCTTCTGTATCTTAATTTTACTTGTGTTGATCGTAAGTACTGGGCAAACATAAACTGTGTTATTTATAATTTTATTTCTTGCATATGAAAATACATAACAGGAAAGATTTTTTTTTTTCAAACATTAAGGGCTAAGTATTTTTAATTACTCACTTTTATCACAAAACAGACTATTTCCAAAACAAGCTTCATATTAATGCAAATATCTTTACATTTTACCCCATTTTTAACTATGTTAATTTGTTTTCAACTTGTTAATTACATGAGAAATTTCAACAAATTCTAACACTTTTCAGGACAACATTATGTAAAGTTGACATCAGCAGAATTGGGCGACTTAGCTATTTGAATTCTCTCTGGATAAGAGGTGGAGGAGGACTTAGGCTTCCTTCAGTAATATCCAGTGGAGGATTGCAGTCTTTGGAAAATCTAACCATGCTTCGACACTTGGTGGGTATAGGTTCTTTATTGAGCTTTATAACATAAGACAACATCTGGCCATTTTACTTCAAAAGTAAAACATTCTGAAAGAACATAAAACAGTAACAAATCTTTAAAACAAAAAAACATTGCACAATTACATAATTACAAAGAGCCAACAGTTTTAAGTATTAATTATAAGAAAAGTTTCATTTTTTTTATCATTATAAAGATAAACTGGCATTTTATGGTTTCAAAGATTCACATAATACCTGGTTAGTTTAGATTAAAAAACACTCTTAAGGTGTACTGTTGTTCATTGTTTCAGGATTAAACCAGATTTACAATACTTGGCATATTTTGAAATTATGTACACATAAAACACCATAATATATTGATCATTTTCACATCTTTAGGTTTCAAAACTTGTAGTGAATATAGAAAACAATGCCTAGCTTTATTATCTTTTGTAATTTCACAAAGATATTTGAAGTTTTTCATTTTGTTTTATTATATTTGTCCATTTTTTCTCTTCAGATCTTTTGAATCTGTTTGTTTTTTTTCCCTTTGCAGCACCTTACTACTTTTGTTGGTGTACCAAGTGAATATTTTCAATTCATTGAGAAACTTCCTTTGTTAGAATCTTTAGCAGTTGGGAATTGTTACTCATGGACCAGGGAGGTAAGCTTATATCATTACTCAGTCTTTTACTTCTGTAAAGGACTATTAAAATATCTTTTTTAGGGAATTCATAATGGGGGAAAAAAAAAGCCAAGGAAAAATATTTATTCAACCATGCTGTTTTACTTATGCCGGTGGGATGCACCATTTGGGAGAAAAAAGAAAATAAAACCAGGTGTAAAAACTGTTGGTATTAATTAACATTTTGATTTCTGTTGTAAACAGTGGAACTGTTAATTGGTAAAGTGATTCAAATGTTGAAAGAAGTTATATCATGAAAACCATATCAAGCACAAAATGGTTACGAGGTTGGCCCCAGGGACCAAGTCTGTGCTGAAAGAGTTGATCCAACTACAATGTCATTTCAATTTTTGCTCTATAAAAAATGGAAGCCATTCACCAATAAGTTTATTGTAAATATGGTAAATAAGTAAACATATGTTAATGAAATTTGACAAATTATCAGTAAACAGTACAATGCTTTCATACACAAATTGTCAATTTTTTTATTTTTCTCGTGCTCTTTTTTTCTCTTTTTGCTTGTTGCCTATCCAACATGCAAAGTAATTTCATTTTAAGATTAAAAAATACTTTTATTCATCAGAAAAATTTGGAAATAAATATAAATTATGCTTCTTTCATTCTAGAATGACAACAAATTATAAGACAAAAACATAAATATTTAGACTAAATCTCATAACATTATACATTTGTATATATTTATTATTTCTATTATGATGACCTTTCAGCCATGCCTGGCTAACAGTACGGAAGTTACAATGATGCGGCTCACATGCACTCGTGTTACTGTATCAAATAACGTACAGGTGACCATTGGTCTGTACAAAGTAACCTGTCTTGGCTGTGTTTTAGTAGACTAGTATTTTGTAAAATACGGTCACATTTTAATTATTATACTTTATATATGTATATAAATGATTGCTATTTTGAAATAAGTTCTTAAACTTATTTTTCTTAAAACATAGAACAGTAACTAAAGAAGTAAAGCAAACAATTATCTATTCTGGTTATGACCTTTGTACTTGGTTGCTGCTTGATGTAGGTTGCTAAGCCTTTAAAAATTTTGCATATGGAGGATATGAAATGAAATGATTTTTTTTAGGGTTTATATATATACAGTTGAATAACCAAAAAATCATAACTTACTATACCAGTACTATAGGATTCCACTATAATTTATCAAGCGAAGTAACTAAGCTGTATTTGGGTCTAAAATTATATATATAATTTTGAGCAGACTAAAGACATAACCTACCTCCTTGAAATCATGGTTTGAAAGAAGATATGATGTCCTAAGACTTAAAATGACTAAGAAAGCCACTAGGGGGACATTCTGAGCTTTCAATTGATTATTCATGTCATATATAGAAGTAAGTGTATATAAGGG